CGCGGTGAAACCGGACAGGCAGCATAGGCTTTATTACCGCGGTGAAACCGGACAGGCAGCGTAGGCTTCATTACCGCGGTGAAACCGGACAGGCAGCGTAGGCTTTATTACCGCAGTGAAACCGGACAGGCAGCATAGGCTTTATTAACGCGGTGAAACCGGACAGGCAGCATAGGCTTTATTACCGCGGTGAAACCGGACAGGCAGCATAGGCTTCATTACCGCGGTGAAACCGGACAGGCAGCATAGGCTTTATTACCGCGGTGAAACCGGACAGGCAGCATAGGCTTTATTACCGCAATGAAACCGGACAGGCAGCGTAGGCTTTATTACAGCATTTTGAGCAACAACAAGAAAGTGTATTTGATTAAGTAAATCGTCACCAAAACTATTATGTGTATTTTCAAACATCATTATTCTTAATGTATACGAATCATCACAACAACATGTTCGCTATTTCATGAAGACAATATTTATTATGAAGTTCATTATCGCGGCTCATTTTAACGCTTGTCATATTAATCTGCAGGGCATATTTTCGCGATCTCATTACTGACCCATTTAAATCACAAAAAAGTTAATCTCCACGGAAATGTCCTGCTATATGGTAAGAGCTTCATATAATGATTAATAATTTGAGGCTATTATATACCGCTTTATGACAATCTAGTTCGTAGGTAGTCTCAAAGCGGTTCACAAATTATTATCCCTGGTTATAGGGCCTTTAATTTGCAACCAGCCAATATCTTTCTCAAAACCCTGGGGAGCATACAGCTGGTGCTGCCATTTCCGGGCTCACAGCTAGTATTCAACAATTCTAGCACTGCCCAACCACATACTCATTTACAACTGAGTAGATTTGAACAAGCAAAGTAAAATATCTTGTTCAAATATACAGCACAGTGCCGTGCTGTGACTTGAACCCGCAACCCTTCAGTCATGAGCCCGGTGTCTTACCACTAGACCAGAGTGCCTCCTATCATGTGAGTTAGTAATGGATTTCATGTGTTAAGTTCTATTACACATACCTGATTCCAAGTTTCTTCATTATAAACACTCGTAATTCTTGCACTATATCCTTGACCTTGAATGTTTCCTTACTCAGTGTCATTCCATTTAAGGAGAAGGTCAACTTTGCTTCCTCCATAAACCCTCGGGAAATGTCGATGTCAACGATGGGTTTCAATTTACCTGTAATTAAAAATGTACACTAGTGGACTCTGTCTTAACCGGACACCACTAGGACCGTATAATTTGGCCAGGTTGTAGAGAGTTACAGATTGTAGAGAGTCTGCTTAACCTTTTCACCACTGTAGACAATAATGGACTCATCCAGATCAATGCATGGTAGAGTCTACTAAAGTTACATAGGGGTGAAAGGGTTAACGACAATCTGAATGTAATGATAAATAAGAATACAGTATTTTGTTCATATGTGCTGGAGTAAATTAATTAACAATACTGTAATATTTTACTGATATAACTTACAGTTAATGATAAGAAAAGGTGATATTCCTAAAATGAAGTAAATTATCATTTAAACTGACTTGTACAAACCCATTACATGTCACTAGGACAACGGTAAATCCTAAATCAAAGTGGAAGAGCCAACGTCGTATGAGATAGTAGATCAGTAAGGTGCTTCGCTCAGAGTGAGGCTACCAAAAGGTATGCGGGGTGACGGGTATCAGAATGTAAATATAAGGAAATGGCCCCGGGGCTTCGATCATAACACAGCTCAAGTGTCACCAGTTTGTGTGGTTGTTTATTACGGCCGACTCTTAATCAGTCCTGATAAAGCCTTACATAATGTCTTGTTATAAGTAATATAAGTGCTCAGGTGTTAGCCTAGTGTACATATCTATCTGTATAAGACAACAGTGACTGGTCAACCTTTTCTCGTACCATAGACAGAGATATCCAACGTCATACCCCTGGTGCTGATGTGCTAGATTTTTCTACCTTTTCCGATCTGTTTGGTACCTTTACGTGACATTTCTCAGAATTTTTATATTGCAATGCATTCATCCACGCAATAACAGCTTGAAGCTGACTGTCGTTAGATGTATTGTTTTGATGTTGTTAGATATCTGATGTTGTGGATATAATATTATCTACACTGCAAAATACGCGGAAAAATTCCAATGTAGCTTTATTAGTCTCAGGCTAAGATTCTTTAACATCCCAACCAAGGCTTAGGGTTGGAGTAATGTTACAGATTCTTTGCCTTTAGTTTATATATATAGGATCTTAAATGAGTTTATATTTCATATGAGATTTTATGAAACAAGCAAGACTCACAAAAATTAAAACTTTGAGACGAGTTTCATAAAAGCTCATATGAAATGAAAACAAAGTTAAGATACTTTTTATCACATAACTCAGAAAACTTACATTTTGACAGGTTTTAAAGCCAAAATGTAGAGGGCTTAATCAAACGGAGACAGCCATTTTATTGCGCCATTCACAATTGATGACATCACGCCATTGTCCATATTATGACATCACAATCGATTTCTGTCTGGCACAGCCAATGAAAAACACTCCAGGGTATATTACACTAGTGACATATTTAAAAATATTACACGGGCGAATTCACTGGATAACAGGCCGATTATGTGATAAAACCTGATCTCGCTCAGTTACAGGTAACATGTTTTATTAGACTTTCCTAGTAATTAGGACAGTATATTTAACAGCACTAGACCTCAATGGGATCATGTTTGTTTGTTTGTGTTTTACGTCCTATTAACAGCTATGGTCATTTAAGGGCGTGCCAGGTTTTGGTGGTAGAGCAGAAAATGTGGGCTGTTGATCTTGTGAATCAATTGAAAACAAGATTTTAAGTTTGAAAATAATCACGTTTTCTTTGGTGATATTGATTGTCATCATTTATTTTGACAACACTTGTAATAACATGCAAACCTTATGTATATTTTGTGATTTTGTGCATCAACATGACTTTTTTTTTAAATTTCAGACTTCTGATTTTAGGGAAATTTCTTGACAGACAAATGGACAGGTGTGATGTCTTTATTTGAAACCAAAGGAATTAACACTGAATTCAGGAGAAATAGGAGTAAACAGATTTAATGTATTGATTTCATCCTGTCAGGCCAATCACCCTAAGTTCTGGATGTATGCAGTGCAAGACAGATAGACAGCCACTTTTATTACTACAAATCTGGCACCAGTTTCTACCGCAACCACTGTAGGTTTCCTCACTCCCACAACCACTGTAGGTTTCCTCTATCCCACAACCAATGTAGGTTTCCTCACTCCCGCAACCACTGTAGGTTTCCTCTCTCCCACAACCACTGTAGGTTTCCTCACTCTCACAACCACTGTAGGTTTCCTCACTCCCACAACCACTGTAGGTTTCCTTTCTCCCACAACCACTGTATGTTTCTTCTCTCCAACCACTGTAGGTTTCCTCACTCCCACAACCACTGTAGGCTTCCTCACTCCCACAACCACTGTAGGTTTCCTTTCTCCCACAACCACTGTATGTTTCTTCTCGCCAACCACTGTAGGTTTCCTCACTCCCGCAACCAATGTAGGTTTCCTCACTCCCACAACCACTGTAGGTTTCCTCACTCACACAACCACTGTAGGTTTCCTCACCCTCACAACCACTATAGGTTCCTCTCTCCTGACTCATTGGATAAACCTGCTAGAAGTTGGTAAACTCTTTTGGTTACCCACTAGTGGGTAATTACACCCTGGACATGATCACATTGGTCAATCTTTGATTTATGACGTCATATACCAATACTTTTTGACGTCATTTTCCATCATGACGTCACACTCCATGACAATTGATTCCCCCAACGGAAACACACATGATGTATTTTCCAAGGGGAAAATGTTATTTTTTTCTCCGAAACATTGAACAGGTTCCCAACTTGTGATGATTAGTTATCACGTTTATCTAACTCTCGTTAGAGTGTTCATCTAACTCGAGTTAAGATAAACATGATAACCAACCATCACTCGTTGGGGAACCTCTACATCTCTAATGCGGTGCTCTAAAAAGATACTTATAAACACTATTTTGATTTTTAAATGAAATAATAAATCTAAAATTTCTGTGTTGTTGAGCGTCATTCTGTCCAAAAACATTTTAATATTAGGCATACATAGAAAAAACAGATTTGGGTTGACGATTTTAAACAATTATTCCTTTGTCATTAGTTAATGAACCAAGTCAAAATAATGCTGTTTGGGTTTTTGTTGTGGAAATCTTTTATAAAGGAGATCTAAATGAGAGATTTTAAGAAAGGTAGCATAAGTCCTTAAGTGTACAGGAGTACCCATACCATGTTTTGCCTCCAGTTCCTTGTATCTCTCCGGCTGGGTTTCCTGTTCCATGAAGTATCGGACAAAATATCTCTCGGCTTTCTCCCTTTCTGTACAAAATACCTCACTCCCATTCAGGAATTTGATGTTCGGCAAACTGAAAGATTTTAGAATATTTTTTTAATATGAATACATGCCTGGAACAAAATTGTTAAAGAAAAGGGGATTACGATGATAAGCTTCCTCGATACTCCAGGCATTAGGCTCACTTACGCTATCTGCAACCCTGGAATATGTCGTAGCAAAATCGAAGGCTCGGTGTGCACCACCTTGTGGATGAGGCGTGAAGACTAGTTTGATACTTTGATGTACATCAAAATTTAATCTGTCAGTCCTGTAACAGTAAAATTTACTGGCTTTGAAGTCGGGTGTCGCTCCACTGTATTCGTCAATTATATGTTTGTTTGCTTGTGTTGAACATCTTATTAACAGCTATGGTCATTTAAGGACATGCCAGGTTATGTTGGTGGAGGAAAGCCGGAGTTCTCGGAGAAAAACAACCAACCGATGGCCAGTACCTGACGACTGCCCCATGTAGGTCACGAACCCGTGACCCAGTGATGGAGGGCTTGTGGTAGCAGGATGTCGGACGCCTTAACCACTTGGCCACTGCGACCCTCTGTAATCTTCAAAAGACAGGTATCAGCCTTAGCAATTGGTCAGGTTTTATAAACTGAGACCAATCAACCAGCTAGTCGTGTGCCTTCAATTTTGCTATGACATTCATATTCCAGGGGTGCAGAGAGCAAAAGTGAGCGTAACCTCTAGAGTATTGAGGATGAACGATACGTTTGTGGCCTATCTATACACAAAAATAAGAATATTAGAAAATCATTTTATATATAATAAAGCAGAGACGGCTATACAGATTCTATTATGATCTCTCGTTTCATTTGCCATCATGCTTTTCACCAATACATTTCAGTCCCTTTTTCTCTTTTTCTAAGGAATTACTTTAAATGCTTCCCTCAATTTATCACCAGACCCCTGGATAAGCACCAAACTGTCTATAAGATAGAGCTAACTGTGTCACTTCAATGCCATTTGCCACTATTCTGTGCCTCCCCATGCCTCAATATGTTTAAAGTTGAATATTTTTGAAACTAGACTGGGGCCTGAGCTAAATCACCTTATTGTCATTAATCCTTCATATGAACTGTATGACATATTTATTTCCCTTTGATCCATTTATATCAATACTATATCCTTACAAGTACCGGGTAAATACAATATCACTCCAAATTAGAAAAAGGTACCTTGCAATCTTGAGTTTCCTGCGGTCATCCTCGCCCATTTCTGACATCAGTTTGATATTCTAGAAATATATGTAGGATGTAAGTAAGTTATGCAAGGAAATTTTTTGTCACAGTTTTTTGACCTCGTTAATGAAGGTAAATTAATACCTAGAGTAACAAGTTTGCAGAATGTATATCCCCTGCTTTTAGGACATGTACTAGATGGTATGCATTAAGCATGGGCACATATGCACAGATCACCTTTAAGATCGACCCCATTGTGGTACACATGAAAAATTTCGTTGAAGTTTTCAAGATATCTGACAGTACTACATAGTAAAGAGGAGGTAAATGCTCAAAAAAGGATATATGACCTTTGACAAAGACCTTGACCTTTAGTGAAAGCAACAGAAATTATTATACAATACACCATCTTTTGGATATGCAGATGTGTTTGTCTGTATTCATGAGAAATAGGGACAGACACATACAGGATGGAAATTGATAAGGCTTTGTTTCAGAAAAGAAAAGAAAAGTTTTTTAAACCAACCTGTATCCTGAGCGACTCAAGATTGGGAAAAGAGCTGAGAGCCCACAGATGATCCCAACTGTGTATACAGGTATCACTGACGCACAGACTCTTCAGTTTCCTGAAAGCTTTTCTGTCTTGTCCAGAACTGCTATCATTGTGATTTTCCTCTGGTTCCAAATAAAAGTTGACAGGTACTTTGTTGTCTGCAGTCCTGTCGTTATCTGCGGTCCTGTCATTATCTGCGGTCCTGTCGTTATCTGCATTGCTGTCATTTTCTGCAGTCCTGTCATTATCTATTTTCCTGTCATTATCTGCATTGCTGTCATTATCTATTTTCCTGTCATTATCTATGTTCCTGTCCTTATCTGCAGTCTTGTCAACTACAGTCCTGTCTTTGTTTTGCTGGACAACTTCTGATTTGTCCAATATTGTTTGCTCAAGTTCTGAAAATGCCTCTACGAGAACCTGTTCTACGACGTCTGTAGCATATTGAGCAGGACTTTTGTTACCATTTTCATCATCTTCCTCATCCTGATTGGATGAAATGTCTACGTCATCAGTAGCTGTATTATCAGTTTCAATGCAAACATGATCTGTGTCATCAATATGCTTGTAAACCACATCCTTGAGAGGATTTCCTGATAATATCAGTGTGTCCAGCTCTGGCAGATGGCGAAGTTTCCAGACTTCCTCCCAGCTGAAAATATTAAGATTTTCTGTGTGTTTACAAGAGGGACTTATATACTTATGTTCCGTTATGCTATGATTTTCAATTTTAGCATCTGCTATCTTGAAAGTAGCCAAAGGTCACTATTTGAACAAAGGGGAAGGGGGTTCCAAAATTGCCTCTCCTTTGATTTCAATTTTCTTTTGTGAGGTGAAGACCTAGACCTTATCATAACAAAAACACTCATTAAAATTCAAATGAGTACTTTGTTTGTTTTTCGTGGAGGCGTAAAACTGAAACCAGAGTGTTCACCCAAAAGACGAATATTTTCAAACTAACAATTTGCACTGAAGGATCGTTTATGATGGAACCGAAACTAGTGATCATGTACAGACAAATTAACAGCCAGAAGCCATTTTAAGCAATGATATTTTCCAGCCAAAAAATGTGTTCATCTTATAATAAATGTATCTTATAACTTTTGCATACCACAGATATTTTTAATTATAAAAGGCCTAGGTCATGAACTACTAGTGACAAAAATATCAATCCAAAATATGTGGTGGAACATATTCAACGAATGGATCAAATGACTATATGGTCTAAACATCAAAATGTGTGACTATATGTATAGTCTAATCATTATGATTGAAAACTGACAGAAAAGAAGAAAAAATGTTCCATTTTGGATGGAATAAGTATTTAATTAACAGAGAAGATGCTTGGGAAAATTCGATGTTTGATTCCTTTTCAGAGGCCACCAAAACATTCGTTTTACTGCCCAATCAGTTGTCAGATTCATAGACAACTATCAATGGAATTCAGAGATTGTATGTTTGTTTGTTACTTTATTTTTATATATACATGTATATTAACGTTAGACGCCGTATTAACAGCTGATGACATTTTAAGATAATGTTTGCAAGATGCAAGAGTATGAAATGTGTTCGAATGGCAGACTTGGAAAAAATAAGGAAGAAAAAAATGATGCAAGGCTTTGAGTTTGTTTTCAAACTGGTGATTCTAGATTCACAAGAAAACAACTTACTTAAAGCTTTGTCAGAACTTTTTAGCCCTTGGCCATGGGTGAAACTGTTTTGGATTTTGAAGATTGCTATGATAGCCAAGAAAATAAAGTATACCTGATGTAGGAGCACACATTCCCATAGTTCTTTGACCAACTTGGCATTGGCAGTAGTAATTTTTGATTTGATTATTATTACTTGGTGTCATGTACTGAATCCAAATATTATATTTAGTCTGGCTTTTGTGTCTGCAACAAATCTGACAATAGATGAGGTTTTGATAGTGCTGATACACCCATATTTCATAGTCTTTGCAAATTCTGACGTTGCTCTCTTGGAGAGAGCTAGTTGTTTTCACCCTCTGAGCCAAACAGTTTGTTTTTGTAAGTAGACACTTCATTTGATGTGCAAGTTATCTGTCTTTTCTGTCAGTTTCCGGTGATCTTTGATAAATTGGTCCCCGTATCCAATTGAGACATGCAGTCACAATCTTTAGCACTTCATCAGTTATATCAATGAAGCAATTTGATATTAATTGAGTTCTAAAATTATCCAATGCTTATATTAAGACGGCCATGATACAATCCATCGGGATCTAGTTACTGTTCTATCTATGTTATTGATTGGTAACAAAAAACTTTATCAATCACGTCAACTGATGAATTGAATTTGGAATTTGTTGTGACCTAACATCCACTGAAAGGTTTATTGTAGGCTTGCAACAAATTTCGTTACCAATTACCTGTAATCAGGTACATTGCTTTTTGTTGGACGCCAGGGAGGTGTCTTATGACCTCACCTTTTTGGGTACATAGGGTACTTCGTTGTGCGAAATGAATGCTTTCCACCACTTTTTTTGGACTGAATTTTTGGATACATATTTGAAATACCACCATCTTTGTTATATTCTTCATACTAGGAACATTTTTGGTAAGCAAGAATAATAAGGATGAAAAATCCTATAGCTTGCATTAAATTTTTCACAAAATACTTTCCAGCTGATATTTCATTTCTCGACCCCTATGCATATTTAGGTTAATTAATCATCTAAATAATTAGTAGAATGATTCAAAGTAATAACATCGGATGTATAAAGGATTGAAAAGAGTTAAAACAACAGCATAAATCTCCTAGCACTTCTGAAACTAAAGTTATGAGGGGGCAGGCTCCTATGTAAATTTAACATAGCTGGAAATAGTCACTATGATAGCTCTTTTCCAGCAAGTCACAGGACAAGTATCTTGACTTTGGGCTTTATCGTTCTGTACGAAAGGTTGTTATCAATTTTTTAAACATATATGACAAACTTCACTTAATCTGATTTTAAATTCACTTCTGATATAAATTTTCTTCGTACTTAGTAAAGTCCCTTAATTCTCTCATATCCGGTCATGTACGATAATGCTGGCCATGTAAGATAACCATGCTTGCTGAGTCGATCTTACATAGGCGTGACGTCACAATAGCTCAACAATGACGTGACGTCACCAATTTGGAAAACACTGCTGCCGCAATGCAGAAAAGGCAATGTGATGAAATTAAAATCTTTTATGATATAGTTACCATACACGTTAGAAAGATGAGATTATCTTTTCTGCATAAACTCTGTTTGCAAATAGGGGGTAAGCTAAATCTCGCTGGCAAATTTGTTTTCGGCCAAAAAAACTAAGGGGAAACTTGATATTTCCAAAATGGTAGCCAGTCCAAACGCATTTTCATGGTTTCTGAGCTTATTCTGGTAGTTGGAATAACAGAAAAAATACTCTTTCATGCCCAAGAGTGTAGGATAGGGAAATTCCACCCGAGGGGTTTTCAAATTTTGGTTAAACCTGAGGCAAGAATTACCCTATCCTACACCCCTGGACATGGAAGAGTCTTGTATTAATTTTTTGTCATCAAATACATGTTGTTTAAACATAAAATTCCGACAGTCTCCATTGATTGGGCGGTGTTTGGGTTAAGTCTTTAACTCAAACAGAAACCACTAACCTGTCAATCTGATTGTAATTCATCTTCAAGTATTTCACCTTCTCCAGTCCTCGGAGAGTTGATGAGGACAGATGTGTGTATCCTGTAATAGATTTAACAATATCCTATAATCAGTGATCAATCTAAAATTCATTTCCATGGGTCCTTGTTAATTGTATTGCCAATAGAGTATAGGGCCCCAGACTCGTATGTAGATTTATCACTGCATATATTAGGGATGCAACAATAGGCATATTTCACGATATGATACGTATTGCGGTATGATGTTTACGATGTGATATGTATCACAATACAAATATCTGCTTAAAAGATCCACTTCATAATGATTGAGTTCAAATTTTGTTATAGACTTAAATAGCAAATAATATTGAAATAAATTTTTGTATAATTTCTAGTACATTTGGTTATGGTTAAACCACATCTTTACTTTAGGATTAAAAAAATATAAGTACACTTTTTTAGAGTTAGATAAAAATTCATTGATAATTTAAGTACTGTGAATGTATTGCAATACAGGCAAACAAAACAATTTGATACAAAAGAAAGTATCATGATACAATAGAATATGATTTAACATTGCAGCCCTATACTAGCATATATATATATATATATATATATATATATATATATATATGACTATTCAATTAACATTTCAAGAGGGGTACAATTCCGTAAGCCCAACTCCCAGGGCAGACCATTCTTGATATCCAGGGGTTACGCTCACTTTCGCTCTCTGCACCCCTGGAATATAATGTCATAGCAAAATTGAAAACACGCTGCTAGCTAAAAAAAACCAAAAACTGACCAATCACTAGACTGATACTTGTCCTTTGAACATAACAGGGGTGGGCACCTGACTTCAAAGTCAATAAGTATTACCGTTACGCGACCGCTAAATTCTTTTCATATACATCAAAGGATCAAACTAGCATTCTCGTCTCATCCACAAGACGTTGCACGCTGAGCCTATTGCTATGACATATTCCAGGGGTGCAGAGAGCGAAAGTGAACGTAACCCCTTGAGTGTCGAGGATGGGGGCAGACATACCTACCATTTTTACAGGTGTGTAGTTCCTGTAGACTAGGCAGGTGACTGGCTACGGTCAACACCTCATCCCACGCAACGTCAGTCTCGTTGAGGACCAAGCTCTCTATCTTGTCTAGAGAGGTCCCCCAATTCTGTAAGAAATTCTGTAAAGAAAGCACATACAAAAATTAGTTTCCCGCTGACTTAACTCATTTACCCCTGAAATTTCATAATGAACTGTTCCAACCTTTGAATTGGAAGAGTCCAAATGTGTCCTCAGGGGTGAATGAATTTAAACTATATACAAACACCATTATGTATCAGTTTTCCAGAAATCACTGCAGACAGATTTTTTCTTTTCTATTTGGAAAAAAAATCATAAATGAATAAAAAAAGAGTTTATGTTTTAGTTTTACATTAGAACTAACAATCCAAAGTTGTCAAAATGTCCCACCGTCAAAATACAGAATGTCATGATATTAATTTTGTTAATTTATTGATAACTGTGATTTTCTTAAAAGATCAAGATAATAATAAAACATCAAGTTTTATTTAATTAATTATCATTAATTTGTATCATATTTTTAGGAAAAGACCACCATATATTTTTTCAAATCCTTTTTTTACAACAGGAGCAAAGGGGCCTTATTAGCTCACCTGGAACCTGACTCTAGACTTTTTGGTTTTCCAGAAGAATTTATTTTTGACATAATTGACCCCGGTGACCTTGAAAATAGGTCGAGGTCGCTTTCATTAAAAAACTTTAATTCAGCTATATTTGATACATTTGACCTCTGAGACCTTCAAAATCACTCAAGGTCTTTTTTGTTTGCAAAATTGTAAGGCTTCACCCAAGAAAGCTACCAGCTGATCATGAATATCATGACCCTAGACCTTTTGGTTCTTCAGAAGAAGTAATTGTTAAGTTTTTGACTAATTTAATTTTGACTTCTGTGATCTTGAGAGTAGATCTTTAGCTAAACAACAATGAATATTTTATAATTTACCTGTTTGTTAACAAGCTTATTTCGACTCAAATTAAGAAACTTCAGGAAAGGCAAATGAGATATAATGTTGACCACTTCACTCCAATCATCCAGCAAATTTCCAGAAAGGTCAAGATCAATGACGTTGGGACAGAGAGACCTTAAGCCGTCACTAGGGATACCAGCCTTAGATACACGTCTGTCACACAGCACCTGAAATTGAATAGAAGGTGTTTTTTTTTTGGTTTGTTTGTGTTTTACGTCCTATATTAACAGCTATGGTCATTTAAGAATGTGCCAGGTGTTGGTAGTGGAGGAAAGCCGGTGTACCCGGAGAAAAAACCACCATCCTACGGCCAGTACCTGGCAACTGCCCCACACAGGCCTCGAACCTGCGACCCATTGGTGGAGGGCTAGTGGTAGCAGGATGTCAGACGCCTTAACTACTTAAAATGTGAAAATTGAATTTAATAATAAAGTACCGGTATATGCTTGTACTATTATATAATACCTTATTCTCATTAACTAGTCACAGTGTGGAGAATTTACATACAAAAGATTTCTAAATAATAGGGGTAGTTGATTTCATTTAGTCAATTATAACCTGGAGGAATTTTACTAGTGAGATTAATTCAATATTAATAACATAATTGAATTGAATATTGAACTTAGATGTGCTAGGTCTTACTGGAAAATTATATAAAAATGTTCTATTAAGAAAAATTTGACGCTCATGATCACGATTCAATTAAACCAAAAATAAAAATTCATCTCTCTGATTTCATATACGGGTAACAAAGATTATAAATCCTTCCCTCTCTAGGTATGTTATTCCTTCTGCTGTAATCTATTAGTAATTTAACATTACATATTTTAAATTTACAATAGACATTAGCTAGTCTCAGAGGGAGATCTAACAAGTGCATTTTTAAAAACAAAAAGTTAACTTATTTGTGAAATATGACAGAAAATGTTTAAATACCTTAAGGATATATGCTACCTCAAAGAAACATGTCGCTCTTTGAAAAGAGTTCCACAAAAGAAACATGTTTCTTGCTTATAGTTATATATACTTATTAGCTTTTGGTTTTGGTGAAAATGATTTGCTCCAATATGCATGTTCAGTTCTCTTATAAATATTTTTTTTCATATTGACAGATGAAATATCTCATCCTGGCACTTAAGCAACAAGGAGCAGCCTGTTTGAATGTAGAAGGCCTTGAAGTTGGGATGCAGAAGGCCAGGGAATGTCACAGAAATAAAAAACAAAATGAAATTATTTGCAGTGTTAGTGGTTTATAGTCATAAAACACAGAACATTTTCTTCATTTCAATATTTCATTTCCTGTCTAAGATACATAGGATGCATATGATGGGATGTATAAATGAAAATTAAAAGAGTGGGTCTTCTTTATGGGGGGAGGGGGGGGGGGGCTAGTCCATGATTGTACGTCATCACACGCACTTGTTGTGGACATATTAAATTTTGTTGAAACTGAATCAAGACCAAGAGCTAGCCCTCCTTAATGACACTTTCAAAAGAGACATATTGGCGAATCCATTATAATTAGAATAAGATCTGTTGATAATTGATCCTTAGTGTAAGTTTATAATAAGACTGTTTCAGTGTCCTTACTTTCAAAGTACACAGAATTCTTCCTTAATGTGAGCCTAGCTTTAAGTACAATCCTGCTTGTTCATCTTTAGTATTGACTTTTGAAATCAGCATAATTGTTTTTACTCAAACTAAATTAATTAACTGGTTACATAATAATAACTTAAAAACTACCACATGATTTTGTCAAATAGACAGAAGTCTAGTGAATATAACAGACAACTTAAACATAAATCACAAATTTAATATACAAGGTAGATAACTCTTAACACAAATCTCAATTATAATGTGTAATATGCAGCATGTGTCCTTAACTCTGAAAAGTACTGCCTTACTAGCTTAAGATCAATTTTTCAGTGACTCAGGGACTTGCTTGATACATGGATTTTCCTACAACTTTTTCCTAGGCCCATCCCAGGGTCCATGAAATTGGGGAAAATTTTAATGCAGTAAAATGCCAAATTAAGAATATGAGGAAAAAAATAAAATCGAACAAAAACGAAATTACACCCATTTTTCATTTTCTGTATGATATTAAGTTCATTTTCTGCTGTCACTGATATTCAGGCTTTCAAATGATTTTTCATCACCATAGATAATAATTGGACCATCAAGCAAGAAAATGTGTACAAAAAAGCAAAAATAAAAACCAATATTGAATACTTGTTTGTGCTTTTGTTCATAATTGCTTGAAGATATTTTCCTGTTTTTTTGCTATTGCGCTACAGCTGACCAGCTTAATTCATAAAAGTAGAAGTTCTATTATTCTGGCCGACTCAGCCATACACAAACTCTCATCAGCTTATCACATATTCATTTCTGATGATATTCTGTCCCTTTTAGATGCGATCCCCGTTTTAAATGATCTGTTCAAAAATGATTTTTGTTTACTATTATAATATGGAATTTTATGGCAACAATTCAGGAATGTTGGTAAGGGGCTCTTAATCAGCCCCAAATGTTATTGTAGGAAATTCCCTGTTCACAGATAGTAAAATGTCAATGAGTGTGGTCAAAGTGGCTAGAAGGGTGCCTGCTCACATGTTACATTTGGTGACAGCGGTTTGACTTTTAGAGTTCCTTGTAAGGCCGGTTCCCATTGGCTAGGGAAGTTGCAATTGGTACATATGGAAGGATCTACATGATTCCCCAGGCTAAATCCCAAACAAGAATTCTTGGAAGGAGGACTAATCTAGCTAGCAGCTAAGGAATATGACGGGAAAATTCTGCATATGGCAAGGAAGTTTTTCCGTTGATATATTTAACAGTTTACTTGACTAATAGTTAATAAGCAATATCAAGCTTGGTTAGTGGTTGATGGGTGCATGCATGCATGTAACACACTGATTATACATGTGTACATGTTTTTTTCTTTATTTTTAGACATTGACATATATTTCAGAACAATATTTGAAATGAGTCATTGAATATTTTACTTTACATGGCGATCTTACATGAGTCACTATCTATATTAATTGAATACTTCTAGAAGCATGGCAATATTTTTGCGTTAAAAGTTTAATTTTGGCAATATGCCACAAGCTCGCGAAGAATGTCAACATATGATACATAGATGATAAATAAATGTTTATTTTCTCACTCTTATAATGAAAGTTAAATTTAGTAGCTAGTAAGTCTATAACGCATACCACGTTCCTCAGGTAAGCCAGCTCCGCGTCCGACCCATTCGTCTTTGGTTTCCCGTGATAGACAATATTCACCACAAATCCACCAGAATTGCACGAGTCAATTTCTGGGCTGCAATATTTTTCCTTCAGTGCTTCCGTAAAGGACTTTTGTCGTGGCAAACGACGTTTGCCTGGTCGTTTTCTTTCAGCTTCCATCATCGAGCCTACGAGAACACGTTTATATGCTGCTATCAGCTAGGCGCGAGTTGTCTTAAAAGTATTTACGAATCATTGATATTTTTAGACTAAAGTTCAAATTTTCTCAGCTGTTTTGTTGTCATTGCCTGCGATAATCTCGATAGTATTTTCAAAATATATACATAATTGCCAAAGGTATTTCAAATATTGAATTCAAAATATAAAACTATTCTAAACTTGAATTAAACCTAATCATTATCCTGAAAAGAAACGATTTTTAAGTGTTTTCTTATTTAAAGATAACTTTTCTTAAAATATCATACTAGAGTATCATTTTGATTACTCATCGTCACAAAAATTGTCCAATCAGTTTCGTCCTTTTAATTTAGAGCCTCGCACCTTGCCGGAAGTAATCGATAGTGACGTACAGAATCAAGATGGCAGACGCAGACTTCATGAACCCAGAACCAACAGAAGAAGACCCCGCTGCAGCCTTTTTGGCCAGGGAACAGACCGAATTAGCGGGCCTTGAAGACGATAACTTCGGCGTTGATTCATCAGCACCCCAACAACAAAGTAATTCGTTCTATATCGCTTCAAAATACACAATCTCCGTCACTTTCAGCCGGTATCCGCCCACAAATCGTGCAATGGGCGTAATGTTCTGCTGAACAGAAAACTTACTCTTGTTCTAGCGCTTTGGTGCCAACATTTAGGATAAGTATACACTGGAATTGTTGTGTTGCATTAATGTGCTAGTTATAGGCTAGTGGTCGAAATCATAAAATCAAAGCTACAGTTTATGTTACATGTGTAATAGGACATGTAGGAACAGTGATAAAGATAGTGTCGTCGCTGGGGCTCGAACCCGCGACCCTTGGGTATCCAGCCCGATGCTCTACCGCTGAGCTAAAGGGAAATTGCCTACAGCTGACGCTTGTAAGGCAACCTAATTAATCCACTTCTTTTACACTGTTCCCCCCTTTTTTCAAACACCGACCAAGGTTCTTTTACTCCCCGCAAAGGGTTATCCTACCTTGAACGGGGAGGGTCAACAGCACCATTCTGCAATAGGACAAGGAACAGTGATAACAATAGTGCCGTCTCTGGGGCCTTGGATTTCCAGCCCGATGCTCTACTGCTCTACTGCTGAGCTAAAGGGAAGTTCCCTACAGCTATATATATATAAAAGCTTGTAAGGCAACCAAATTAATCCACATCTTTTACACATGCATGAAGTCTCCTACGATTTGTCCAATCCAGTTTCACTACTGTCCCCCATCTACCGACAAGTTTGAAGAGTTACTTTGGGAATATTAAGTTATAGGTGGTTGTGCCAAAAGCAACTGGAGTGGTTAAATGCAACAAATTAGACCATGATTGAACGTTGGATTTCCAAACACAGGGAAAATCCTGGAATTTGTGAGACAAAATTAACATATAGTTTATTTAGTTTGATAACTACCAGAATGAGAAAAGGGACCCAGTCGAAAAAAAAGGACCAAGTCTTTGCAAGGACTGTTCATACTTGCCAACCATCCTTATTAATTTTTGACCCTAAATTTAGCATTTTCAACCAGTGAATTGGCTAAACTATTCCTAAAACTCAAAATATGTCATTTCAAAGGGTTATTTTGTCTCAGGGCTGTATATACACACATTTCATTTATGCTATAATTTTGAGCATGCAGAATCTCCCCCATGGAAAATTAAAAAAAAGTAGGCAAGTATGCCTGAATAAACATTTGCAAGTATGTCAGGATTTATACCCGAAAATGTTACATTTAAAAACAGAATAAACAGGTCCCTGATGGATTTTTTTCTCTACAGTTTGTTCTTTTTAGGCATCATATTTGAGCAATTTTAGCACAAAGTATCAGTACTAGTAATCTGAGTTAGTACTTAGTTACTTATTAAAGTTAACAATTGATAAGCTCTTTGAAATATAAAACTATTTGACAAATGCGGGTCTCTTCAATTATTCTCTTCTAAGATAGGTTCTCTTGTTCACTGTATAACGTATCATACTGTAATCCAGTGATTTCTTTATTGAAACCCATATTTATTTCCATACTTGGAATGTTCTCAAAAACCTCACCCAATCTTTGTTTTTTGAGTTGATTTAAGAAATTAGTTAGTTCATTGATATATAAACATTACTGATTCCAAATTATCGAATACACATTTTTAAATTATCTGCAATAATTTATTTGACAGATGACAATTTTGACCCATTCACTGGTGGAGCTTCAGAACAACAAGAAGGGGACTTCATGGGAAATCAGGTAAAATTAACAGCACTGAAATAGACAATTATTCTGACCCGGTAAAACATCACTAAAGAACCATATAAATAGTCAGTGATTTTTCTACCTCTATAGGACAGGGACCTGTGCCTTGTGACTTTAGGAAAATATATCACATACAAAAAAATGGTTCATTTGGTGAAAATAATGTGATTTTTGTAACGATTTTTGAGAAATACAGCAGAAAATATCTAGAGGGAAGGAGTCTTTTTAAGGCCCCAAACTCACCAAAAAATCAATCACTGACAGTATGTAACACATTTGGTACAACTCCACTAAAAATAAGAGGTAAACAGTAAGAAACACATTGTCTATAGAACACAGGCGGGTCAAGTACATTTGTTGACCTTCAGAGTACCAAGCATGTTTTTATAAAGATGATATTGCTGTATCATTATTGATATTGTTAACTCATTCCCCCTAGATTTCATGATGAGCTATTCCAACCTTTGAATTGGAAGAGTTCAATTGTGTCTTCAGGGGTTAATAATTTAAGTTCATATAACATTTAAAGGCTTGGATATTTTTATTGATTTTGTACTGGATAATTCAGTTTCCTATATATAACTAATCCTGGTTTGACTTTCAGTATTGTGGATTCTCCTAAAGTTTGAAGTTAAAGTTTCTGTGTTGTAATGTTTTACCTAAATATTATTTGATTGGTGTGGAGCAATGCTTCATGTGAGCAGGTCAATTTATGGTTAATGGTTAAGACTTGGGAGATTATTTGTGTTATTTGTTAATGGTAAAAGCTTTGGAGATTTTGATGGTATACAATTGCAGTAAAAGTGTTCTAGAATATGTAATGCTTATAAAAGTCTTCAGAGATTTGTGTATGGAATCAAAATATCATTCAATGCTGCGCATGATGTTTGTTGTGTTTTAAAGATCCTCTTTATGTACTAGTGCTTCAAGTCTGGTGGTAGGATTAAGATTAATTACTGCATTAATTACTACAAATTGGAAATAAGAAATCCTTTTGTTTCTTATGATGCTACAGATTGATAAGAAAAATGCATCATAGTTTTAAATATGCAAGTTAAGGTGTAAAACAACAGGTACTTGAATTCTTGAAGAAAAAAATCAATGTTTACCTGGGCAGTTTCAACATATTTGGACAATTGATATTTGAAAAAGATAGTGCAAAAAGGTGTTAGAAATAAGAAAAAACTATTACTGTAGATTAAAATATTTAATGAATAAAATAATTATAATTCTATGCTGGTGGTAATATCACTGAAACAAACAAGCTTGTATGTATGTATTTTCTGTGTATTAATTAACTCATTTACCCCTGAAAACACATTTGAACTCTTCCAATTCAAAGGTTGGAATAGTTCATTATAAAATTTCAGGGGTGAATGAGTTAAGCTTTAAATTGTATGCATGATTGATAAATTATTTTGATACATAAATGTTAATATGTACCACCCAAAAAAACACATTTCTCTTTAATTAGGAGTTTGAAACTACTAATCAGCAACAGGATTCTGAGGAAAATATGGTATGGCAGGTTTTATAATGTATATGTTATATATATATATATATATATATATATATATAATATTATATCAGAAAGTATACATGCATGTGTTGTATACCAACATTTCCCCACAGTTGTAGAAAATCAAACAAATACGGATTCCTTCTCTAAACATCATGTCTTGATTTCAGATTTATTATTTAAAAGAAAAATATTGCATATGACCTATTCCGTCTATGCGTATTGCAGAGTTATCTTCTCTTGTGAGCAGGTATTGATTGTTACATATGCATGTACGTCATTTGTTTATGTGAGAAAATTACGTCAATTTATCAAAAATTGATGACGTTAAACAAATGATGTAACAATCAATACCTGCTAATAAGTGCAGATAACTCTGCAATACGAAAAGGCGGAATAAGGTTCTACTTTAATGATAGTTATCATATGAAGTTTTTGAAGCCCCGATTTGGTCTGAATTAAGGATTTCAAACAAAAATTATTAAAGTCTCTCACCCAATCTCCATCCTCCCACCCCTTCAAATTCTAGCTACTGTATATTAATATATATCATTTGTTAATTAAAATGCTTCAAATAGGCTTATAAAATGATATAAAACCGATACAAGAGTTCAAGCAGGAATCCATATTTGTTCTATATATAGACCCTTTAGTCTTAGATCACAAACTTAGACCACTGTTGTGAGTTTGAGAATGTAAACATGATAAAATGTCTGATTGTCTCGATTTTAGATTTTATAAAATGGACAATCTGTAGTAGTCCTTAGCTATCCTTAGAAATGCTTAGCTTTCTCAATAAAGTAATTGATGACTTTCCACGCTTCTATTCCGTCTTTGCGTATTGCAGAGTTATCTTCTCTTGTGAGCAGGTGTTGATTGTAACGTCATTTGTTTGTGTGAGAAAATTACGTCGTTTTCTCAAAAAGTTGATGACGTTACTCTCACAAACAAATGACGTAACAATCAATACCTGCTCACAAGAGAAGATAACTCTGCAATACGCAAAGACGGAATAAGGATCTACACACCTATGAACTCTTTGTCAGTAACATAGTTGCTGTCTTTTACATGCTTCTTTCATTACCTTCAGATTTCCTATACTTCTAAACATACGTGTGATTTCAGACCTCAAATTACTCTTTGTTGCTGAAGTTTTATTCAATGCCTAAGCAGAAAGACAATATATAAATGACTGACTGAGCATTATATTTTAAATCTGATAACATTTCTGTTTCATTGTGCCGATCTATCAAGTAATTGTATATGTAATATCAGACATTAGGAAAATGTTCACCGAGGATGTATGTCGGTTATCAGACTCAAAAAAACACTTTATTTAGTTTGTTACTTTCTACAATGTGGTGGCGATGCACGGTGGTGGTTTATTTTACTCGGCATGAAGCAAGCTAACAGTTAAATTTTGTTGTTGCAATGTTTTGTACTACTGCCTGGAGTTTGTCTACGACCTTGTGTGTACAGTGCAAATACAACATTTATTTAAAATGAGGGGGGAAAATGTTGATTTTAAACTTATGCACACAGCATATGAAAACCAAGAACTGATCGTTTTTGTTATAATTATTGGTCAGTTTATTGTAGTGCTTATTTAGTTATCTTGTTTTGAGCATCCTTGATATGCCAGAGGTTTCACAAACGCTCGCTGCACCCCTGGAATATGTTACAGAATAATTGAAGGTTCTGTGTGCACCACCTTGTGGAAGACTAGTTTGTACATATAAATGTTAAATTGACTGTTTTTGAAGGAAGATGTCGCTCCTTAGCGTAGTGATTGGTCAGTTTTATTTTACCCGAGACCATTCAATAAGCTTGCCGTGTGCTTTCAATTTTGCTATGACATATTACCGGGGTGCAAAGAACTTAAGTGAGCATAACCTCTGGAGTATCGAAGAGATGTTTTGAGCTATCCAGGGAATAGGCGAGGAAATGGGAAAAATATCTTCCTGCTAAATCAAATTATATCTCAAGAAAATCTTATAAATAACTACAATAAGATATTTCACATTTGAAATATGACTTTTAAATTTTACGGTGTACTGTCAAAATATTATGCATCATGTAAGATATCAAATTAGAGTTCAGTTTACATGTATGTATTTAAGTTATGTTTTGTTCTGTGACCTGCAGAAAAATGCAAGTGGGGAATATTTTGATTCACAAAAAAAATTAACTGTATATACTTTGCATATTCTGTGGCACATATTTTTGAAATGAATAACCTGTACACATTGAAGCAGTTGTAAGTGTTAACCGATGTAGGGAGAGATTCACGGATAGTTTACAGACCACAGGCCAGATCATGACCCTGTGGAACTCGCCCAAGTACAACAGCTTGTGTTCTGGCGTCTAGGAAATGATGCTCATTAAGATTGTTCACAAAGGCAATGCATTGAATTTCTGTGTGGGGTTTGAAGAAAAAGACTGTTGTTAATTACAGCTGGTGGCTTTAAATTCAGGGTTTCTTGCTTGCAGACTAGTTATGGTGAGATCAATAATTTGACATGATATCATTAGCAAAAATGCAATTGACTGGAAGTACCAACGCAAGGTCATTTTGACTGAAGCAAATATACACATTGCGGTACTGACGTTGGAGATATTGTTTTTACCATAAAAAGGAGTTTTAACATTTCAGATGAGTGGGGGATCAGGAGGGGGGCTTGTAGACTTTGATGTTTCCCCTCCCCTCGTCGATGCTGAGGAACAAAACGTGAGGAATCTAAAATTTCCCTGCACTTTTTCAGAGAGCATCACACTCCTAAACAGAGCTTTAAATTTTAATAATGCCTAAATTTCTGTTTTAATACTTATACAGCAAAGCATGGCTAAGCATACTATCGTTATATACTTTACAGATCCCCTGAAAAAAAAGTGTTACAGACAACAGACCTATCTCTTCAGATATATGATATATGATATAAAGGCAAGATTTGTTTTGAACACAAACAGGAATTGGCCGAATCAGCTCACTGTGGTTAAGTGAGTTGTTTTCAACAGTCTAGAGTCGAGACTCTTGTCATTTATGCTCTTTGCTTGACAGAGGAAACCAACGTTTTCGAAAGCAATCAAAATAAGTTTTGAACTACTGTTTGTGTTTTAAACAAACCTAGCCTTTATACAAACCTAGCCTTTATACAAACCTAGCCTTTATTATTCCTACCAAGCTGAAGAATCTTATTTGGGAAAAAAAAATATAGTTTGCAATTTTCAGCTGAAATAACTACTCTGTTTAAAATAGTTCTTTGTCAATTTTCTCTTCAAGTATTTTAATATACTATTACCTTTGGTTTGTTTAGGTCTTAAACAAATAAGAAAAAAGTTACAGGAGTCTAGCTTGAGACCTATATACTGGCCATTACTTGTACAGTATTATGTTCAGGAATTGTAAACGCACAGTATAAAAATGGAAAATGAAGACCTTGACAAGGGAATGAGAGCTCTTGTGTTAGAAAAAATACCTTATGTTGTTTTGTCTTTTCATAATATAATGAATTTACTTCAGAAATTGCTGAATAAAAACTCTCAGAATTAACTTGATATAATAGCTAATATGTAAGAAGATAGCTAACTCATTCACCCCTGAAATGTGAGAATGAACTATTCCAACTGTTTGATTGGAAGAGTTCAAATGTGTCGTAAGGGGTACGTTGAATAAGTCAATAGATAATTATGTATAAGTGTTCTACATGTTCATACTGCATACTGTGTAACCATTTTACACTTACATCTGTATGTGTTGTTGCTAGCGTGACAGGTCAAAGGAGGAAAGGAAGTCTGCTAAGGTACAACAGAAACGTCCTACCTGTTTCGTGTTGTTTTTGTTTTGCTGAGGTGTCTCCCTTGTGTCAAATTGTTGATTCCAGGTTTTTGCATACACGTTGCTGTGTTTTTATAATCTACCAGTATGGTGATAACCATTTACTTGAAAACCCCAGTTTTCATGGTGCACAGTTGTTTAAAAGTACAATTCTTTAACAAATCACTTGACAATAATAATATTTCTACTGTGACATTTCATATCAAAGAGATTTGAATAAGAACATTTAAATTAACAAGTTATTTCTTCACATCATTTACGACTTATGAAACCAAAGATACATGTGCAATTAGGTTTGGTACAATATTCTTGGGAAGAAGAATATACTGGTTCACATTGACGTAATCCTGTTTTACACAAAAACTCATACTTTGCTGCTGATAAACCCATATACTCTGGTTTGCTATGCCTTCTATAAATAGGGGAACTCCAGAATTTAAAGCCATCTTGCATTACATTAGGGAAAGAGTTCAGCCTGTTTTTAAGGATTTTCGGCTCGTAGTTCCCCAGGATATTTATAAGAATTAATGCCCCTGGCCTCTCAGGATATTTATAAGAATTAAGGCCCCTGGCCTCTCAGGATATTTATAAGAGTGTAAGGCCCCTTGCCTCTCAAGATATTTATAAGAATTAAGGCCCCCTGGCCTCTCCAATCTAATTATAATTATATCTTCTCATCGCTCCGTTTACTGATATGTCGCGTTGAAGATCTAACAACATCCCGTAGAGGGTCCTGTTCAGGCGACCTTTGCATTAACCAATCAGATGAGAGCTTACGCATTTCTGTAAGTGATGATGTAATGATTTCGGAACACACTTGCTATGATAAAAGACCGAGAGGTGTCAAATGAGCAACTAAAATGGCGGCGCCCATGGCACCACGTCGTGTCTATCTACAAGACAACGTTTGTACAATTTGTGGATTTTGCTTTGAAATAAGAGAGACTTCCTCTTCTGGTGATGTTGTCGTTAAAAAGTTTATCAACCTGAAACTAAAATTAACCAATGACAGGCTTCGCAATATTCAAACTATCACTGGACCAGACGAAAAAGTGGATTTTGGGCTACGAGGTGTCTGCATTAAATGCTACAGGTCCTGCTTTCTGATTGGTTGAAAGAAAGAGTTATGTCGCGTTTTGATTGGCTTGTTATAAATATGATAATGCATTCATGTTGACCTCTGAGGTGACCCTCTATGGGATGTTGTTAGATCTTCAACGCGACATATAGTAAACGGGAGCGATGTGAAGATATAATTTTAATTAGATTGTGGCCTCTCAGGATATTCATAAGTGTTCAAGGCTCCTGGCCTCTCAGGATGTTTGTAAGAATTTAAGGACCCTGGCCTCTCATGATATTTATAAGAATTAATGTCCCTGGCCTCTCAGGATATTTATAAGAATTTAAGGCCCCTGGCCTCTCAGGATATTTATAAGAGTTTAAGGCTCCTGGCCTCTCAGGATATTCATAAGAGTTCAAGGCTCTCAGGATGTTCATAAGAATTAAAGGACCCTGCCTCTCAGGATATTTATAAGAATTAAGGCCCCTGGCCTTTCAGGATATTTATAAGAATTTAAGGCCCCTGGCCTTTCAGGATATTTATAAGAACTTAAGGCCCCTGGCCTCTCAGGATATTTATAAGAATTGAAGGCCCCTGGGCACTCAGGAAATTGTTCAGGAAGTAAGGACCCTGGAGCTTTATAGGCCCCTTCAAGAATTATTTTAGGCCTTTGGTCTCTTCGGCCTCTATTAATTTAAGGATGTTAGGCCCCTTGGCTTATCAAAGGCGAAAGCAGAACATTTGCATATACTAACATGGCACAAGTGATATAATCAGAAATGTGTTCACCTTTTGTATTACTCAAATTAATTTTTCATCCAAAATTTAAAGCTTTAACATATATATATACACTAAAACTTTGTCACACTGCCTTCACTTTGCTGGTGTTTTTTGGCACTGTGAAGGGGATTGGCAATATATTGAGGGCATCTTATATCAAGGTTTAATTATATACTCCAACTAACCTATCCTCTTTTGAACACAAGAATGAATATTTCGTATCAATATCTTCTCGTATTGTATACCGGAAATTTTCGCCCAGTCAAAATTTTGCCCTTCGCCAGTAATATCCATATTTGCCCAGTTTTAACCTCACACTTCACATTTAGTTACTTTGTATATTATGTTGTTAACAAACGTTTGCTGTAATAATAGATTCTCCCTCATTGCGGAGGGTGAAAAAGACAAAAATTGAGGACAAACTTTGGTCATAATCATGTGCCAATCAACTAATGCTTTTAAGGCTGTATAATACCTTATTATATCATTCACCCCTTGAAGACACATTTGAACTCTTCCAATTCGGAAGTTGGAATAATTCATTGTGAAATTTCAGGGGTGAATGAGTTCTACTACGCCCAGTATTTCCTCTCTAAAGGAGTTCCACATTCCGCAATACGCAAAGATGAAATATGACGACAGAATACTGATAAAAAAACAGGGGAGTTAATCAACACAAGCTGCAGAAATATGGTTTAAGATAACATATATATACTTTAAACATAGGTAAATGGATACCAGGTATATTCATACATGTATGTTGTATGTATGTCTATGTTACAGAAAATTCTCTTTCAGATACTGGGAGATGTAGAAAACATTTATTTTTTTCCAGGAAACATTCACTGAATATCAGACTTTATCACTGATAGTTAAATACAGTTATAAAATGTATCTTTTAAAAGTTTCTCTTTAACTGGAGGTACATTTTGTACTTATATTTACCTAACATTTTAATATTCAGAATGTAAATTCATGGTTTTATAAAGAAAAAAAGCTTCGCCATAACCAAGTCTTATAAATATAACATCACTATAAGATTGATAAATACATGTATCATCATTTGTGTTTGTTTAAAAACTTCACAGTTTTGAAATTGATGACATTTTATTTCATTAAAAAAATGTTTACAAGAAAGCCAATTGCAAGCAGACCTGAGAATGATAAGTTGTATATATAGGATCTTACATGAGTTTCCATTTCATATAAGATTTATGAAACGAATCTTAAGAATTTTTCAAATGCATCCTTGAACTGTAAAATGCTGCTATTTTGACTCCAGTGCGTAAGTCTGTGATGTCATGTACTTGTCCTAGGCATGACGTCACAATTGAAACTTGTAACCAATCACAGGGCTGATAGATCATATTACATAGGTTAATACGCAAAAAAAGAGAATGACGGGTATATTCATGATCACTGGATAACACAGTACAGTATGTGATAAATAAAAATTGCACGATCAGAAGTTAAAAATATGAAGGAATATGTTAGAACTTTATGTAAGTATTCATTTAAATCTTAACCACCAATCTTCCATATAACGAAAACCTGATCTCACAGTCAGCTTGTAATTGTTCACAGTAAACATATTTTACGTCAAAATATTAAAATGTATTGTAAAATATAGGTTCACACCTGTTGTATCTTTACTTTTCAGACCAATGCGCCACCGGATATGTACAGTATAATCTCCCAGGCGGATCGCGAGAGGAATGAGCCTGAAAAAATTAGAATCTGGCGAGAAGAACAGGTCTTAAAGTTGGAGGCCAAAGGTTAAAATAAGCACTTAATACATCTAATTAATCTGTTTTAATTAATATATTGAGAAGCAATGGGAAACGGTAAATGCTAAACAGGAATAAGATTAATCAGTTTGGTATGAATATCAAAGACTAAGTTTGTTTTGAACACAAACAGGAAGTGGGCTTTCAGAAATGTCACTTTCCTTTGTCAAGCAAAGGTGGCAAATTACTGATGTCTCGACTCAAAACCACTGTAAACAACTCCCTTGACTTACACTGAGAACAAGCTACAACGAAAGCACCAGTTCAGGCTTATTACTAGATTAATGAGATTTTAACATTTTCGTATTTAAATTCATCAGATAAGGAAGAGGATAATAAACAAGAGGAGATGAGAGATTCGGCGAAGAAAGAGCTTGACGACTGGTACAAACACAACCTGGAACAGCTGGAGAAAACAAAGGAGAACAATCGGTAAATACCATGTACATGTTAAATCATTCATCCATCACCCCAAACTGGATATCCAGGGGTTACGCTAACTTTCGCTCTCTACACCCCTGGAATATGTATGTCATAGCAAAATTGATGGCACACGGCTAACTATTTGATTGTGAAAAAAAACGACCAATCACTAGGGTTATAATTGTCCTTTCAAGATAACAGGAGGGCGCCCGACTTCAAAGCCAATAAGTTTAACCGTTACACGTTCACAAAATTCTTTTGATGTGCATCAAAGGACCAAACTAGCATTGTCGTCTCATCCACAAGGTGGCGCACACTGAGACTTCGATTTTGCTATGACATATTCCAGGGGTGCAGAGAGCGAAAGGGAGCGTAACCATGGATATCTAGGATGACATGACATAACCCATTCTTATTCATTGAAAAGCGAAAACCAGCCTCGATGCATAGCAGATCACAAACCATTTACATGTACAGTAAAGCGTTTGTTATTAGATCGTATTAACCTTCAGCCAACAGGAGAGAACTTTTATAACAATATAACAGTTCTCAAATCGCTTCGAAACAGTCAGTATATCTACAATTCTAACCAACCTGAAAAAAGTTGGTCGGTTCAAAAAGAAATAACTAACCATAGCCTCTTTTTCGTTTGTCTTTAACCTTTACGTTCATTTGAAGTCATTACGGGTACCTTTAACATGTTGTGTCTACTTTATTGACCGTTAAGTGACCTCCTTTGTGTTGAGATAGGCTTTTGAAAATCCAATAATATTAATAATAATATTTCAAAACTGAACCTGTTTCGTATTGTTGTCCTGTATCTGTCCAAAGGGGTATAGCTTTCACGCTTCGGTGATAGCAATTGTTTAAAAAATAATTTACGAAATGTTTTCAATTTCTCTAGTGTAAGTAAATTTGTACTATATAATGTATTCAATATTGAAAATTTGAAGTATGACATGTTAGAAATGTACAATTTTGGTGTTTTGAGTACAAGTCTGCAGGCTCAAGTCAAAGCTAGAATGTCAGAGTAAATATTGATTTTTTTTCTATTCCTGATTTTTTAAATATACTGGACATTTTGCTAGGAAAATTGTACAACCTGGCTTAATAATGAATAATACTTTTAAATGATACCCCGTAACCCGGGCATTTTTTATGTGCAGATCCTTTTAATCCCACCTGATCCAGCAAAATGTCTTTCTAAGGTTTCTTGACCCTTTCAACCCTATGTAACTTTAGTAGACTCTACCATGCATTGATCTCGATGAGTCCATTATGGTCTACAGTGGTGAAAGGGTTAAGAGAACCCCTTCCTGTATCTAAAACAGCAGTTTTTTCAACTTAAATTTATATTTAAATAATAGTTGATATGAAGTGGCTTATTTTAAAAGCTGAATTTTTCTGATTAATAATTGCCATCGCATCATAATTTTTCCAACCAAATTTGATTTTTTTCTGCTGTAAATGGTTTTTAGCTCAATATTGGAAATTTACATAAATAATTTGCATGCACAGTGTTGTTAATTACGTGTTGAGAAGTGATTGTGAGGTTGGAATTGTGAGTATTGGGTTGATATTTATATATCTGTCTATCCCCACAAGCCGAGGAAACATGTGAGTATGACCTACAGTCGTAGCCAGTAGTACAGTACTCGGACCAAATGTTATATATTGTAATCACCATATTGTCCGTGTTAACCCAGAAATTCGCAATGACCTAGTTGCTGGAAGTACCGGAAAATTGTACTAACAAAGACTTATTGGCTGGAATTATTGGAAAAATTAAACCCAATCCATTCACAGGTAGAACTGGAAAATTGTACTCAAAACTTCTAAACATTTTAAATGGGGCAACGGTGGCCAAGTGGTTAATTATAAGGCGTCTGCAATTCTGCTACCACTAGCCCTCCATCACTGGGTCTCGGGTTCAAGACCTCCATTGGGCAGTTGCTAGAAATGTACAATTTTCGTGTTTTGAGTACAAGTCTGCAGGCTCAAGTCAGGCTAGAATGTCAGACTAAATATTAATGTGAAGGGCAAATTTATAATTGGGCGGAAATGGATTTTACCGTTAATAGGTGAAAATTTGAGTAATTAAATGTGAAGGGCAAATTTAATATTTTGGCGAAAATGGATTAATTTCTGGTATACAGTATCATAATGGTGACTGTTACCAGTGGGTTAATGTTTTATGCATAGAATTAATATACAGCGTGCGTGTGGATTTGAGGAATGACAACTACCAAATGAAAATGAGGCTGGTCTAGGGTAATACTATTGGAATAATGGCGCCGCGGAGAAGAGTCTTCAGCGAAGAAAAAGAAGATTATTTTCTTGCAAAGTCTTCCACCCCTGTATCTGCCATTCATTATTTCATATATACAATCAAACTGTTTGTGTTCAACAGTTATGTAATTTTTCTCAAGATTGCTAAATGTAAATTAAGGATCCCTGTACCCCTGCCAGAAACCTGTAACTATGAATTAGAAACTTTTTTTCCAGTATGGCAATAGATTTCAAAAACCATTTCCAAAATGAAACCCATACCTTGCGGTATTTTAATGAAAATTAAATATGTGAAAATCCAATCGCAGTGTTCCTAGAGTAAAAAAGAATCAACATGGACAGACCAGGTTTTGAACCCTGGACCTCCTATCATGATATGGTTCATCTAACCAAACTTATGTGATCAGCTGAAGTAGCCTTACCAAGTCCTTGTAAGCTACAACCAAAATGAAGTTAAAGGGAGGTTACTGTAGTCAGGAAAAACTACCGTGGAACTCTCTAGTGTTTCCTAGCAGTGTTACTAGGATCCTTAATGGTGATTTTATTTACTTTTAAAATATTGAGTGATTTCCCCTTTTATTATACTTGGTTTAATCCTACGTTGGTCATGTAAAGTTGTTTTAATTTTTGTTACAAGATCCATCAGGAGGTAATATTTTCAGCACACAAGTGTATTTCTTTTTCCAAATGATTTTTATTTTAACCTGGTTGCTGCCTTAAATCCCAATGTTTTTCTTTCTCTTGAAATTTCTAAATATCTTTTGCAATGATGACAACTATATATATATATATATATATATATATAGACGTAGCTGAACGGGTCCTCACAGGTTTTCTATAACAAAAATTAAAACAGTTTACTTTTTCAGTACATGTATTTGTCATTTTTCTAAAATTGCTGATTTCTCTTTTGACGAAGAGTTATTGCACCTATGAAATATTTGAATTTACTTGTATTGATATTGAATAATTATTATAATTGGAGCATAGAATACATATTTAAATACACATACCATATAAGGATTTGCATTGTCATTAACTTTGTGAAGGTATGTTTGATCAAGAACTTTTGTTGATTAAATGTAAGATTTTTGTTATTATCATTTTATTTTAACTTGCAAGATGTTTATAGACAATTTGTGGGAACCCATATCTAAAATCAGTCTGTATGAAAAGGTGTGAGCTGTTCTTCCTCCAGTTTTTGGTTGAAGGTTCCAAAGCAAATGGTGGAGGGATCCATTGCTAGAATATAGGGTAGTCGGGTTTTAAGTTACATTTCTATAGTGCTGCAATATTAGGTAGTGATAATCAGTCAGAAATTCATTGTTTGTCTTTTAAGCATAAGTTATTACAACTTTGGACACCGTTTTTCATCAATACTTGCATAGAAAACATATTATTTCACAGACAGACAATTACAAATTACTGAGAAGAAGAAGAGTCTTCTTCACAGAGTGCTTAGCAAAGCGAAATCTGACGATGAAGGAAAGTTTAAATCAATACTTTCATAAATCAAATTTATGATGTAATCTTCACTGGATTCTAATAAAAAAAAAAAAATGCGTTTTAAGTATGAGATTGAGAAATACACCCCTAACTAGGATTTCCTCTCTAAATAATCAGAAGTTGTTTATACTGTGATGCAATATTGTACCATCACTGGCTAGTATCACAGGTATACATGGTTAGTCTGCATGTCTGTTTGATCTGTGTTGTATGTGTAAACTCTATGGTTTCGGGAGTCGGGTATGTGACGTGTCTACGCGTATAGCGTGAAGAGTATAACAGCTTGACGGTTCCGGGTGGCTCCGTGTAAAGAGTGGTGTACTAGGAGTTTGTTTATACGTAGATTTGTGTTAGTCTGGCTAGAATTCTGTTGTAACAATGTACAAGTATTTGGAACTATTTCCTGTAAGTGAACACAAGCAAGCTACCGTGTATAATTAGTATGGGGGTTTATAGATCAGAGGTGTTCTGGAGAGAAAGTATCTAAACATTAAGGGATATTTATGTATCTTGATGAAAAACGTTTCTCCATCACAAAAAAAATCTTTTTTTCCAGGTGATTGACCTACGAATTTCACCAAATTAATTTCTAATATAAGATTTTTTGGGGGAAAAACATACATTTTTAGCTCACATGGTCCAAAGGACCAGTGAACTTATGCCGTGGTGTGGTGTCTGTCAACTTATGTTTTAAAATGTACAAGTCCTGAACATTCAAGTGGATTTTTGACTTAATTTTGCCTGTAGCATCCTTTGCTCAGTTTTGTATAAATGGAGAGTGTGGCCCCCTTGGGGGGCTTAGGGGTACACATATGGTCCATGGGGGAAATTTAGGTGAATTTTTAAAATCTTTTTTTTTTATCAGTTCAATTTGAGGGATTTTAACCAAATTTGATTTAGAATAATATTCTAGGGTAAAGGGGACTCCATTTGTATAAATGGAGAGGGCAACCCCTCTAGGGGTAGAGGGGCAGGCACAATAGGGATACATCTTTAAAATCCTTCTTTGTTACGAACAGTAGGATTTAAATCAAATTTGGTGTAACAAATCTCTTTGCAAAGGGACTCAGTTTGGTATGAACAGAGATTGTGGCAACCCCCCCCCCCCCCCCCCCCCCTCCTTCAGGAGGCAGAGAGGCAGGGCCCATTATGGAGGAATGAAGGGATATCTTAATGTTTAAAATCCTTTTGTACAAATTGAGGGATTTTAACCAAATTTAGTGTAGAGCAAATTGGAATCAATTTTGTATAAATGGAGGATTTGTCCCCCTGAGAGTAGAGGGGCATGGCCTTATAGGGGAAATTGAGGTAAATGTTTGAAATACACCCCACTTCATGGAGGCAGAAAGAAGGGACCCAATGAGGGAACGGTGTTGCTTGGAGACAGAGCCAATATTTGGAAAAAGTTGTATTAATATATTTAATGACAATATTTTCCAATGGTTGCTTATTATCCAGGTCAGCAATACAGGCCCTCTGGGCCTCTTGTTATCCAGGTCAGCAATACAGGCCCTCTTGGCCTCTTGTTAGGCATATGAAGTTGGCTTGAACTGTGAGGACATTTTTGTTTTATGTTTGTATAGTGCATGGTCGTTCTTTGTAAAGGAAAGATGATAACCTGAAATAAGTAAAAGATTGTGTTGTATTCAGACAAAGATTCCTTAGCCCTTTCACCACTGTAGACCATAATGGACTCAACCAGATCAATGCATGGTAGAGTTCACTAAAGTTACATAGGATGAAAGGGTTAGAAAACGGTTTAGAACTTTATTATATGTAATGTCTATACTGTACTTAATTCTTGTATTAAATTATTGCTTATTTTAGCACTAACAATATATGTTTGACAGTTTTGTCAATTTTTATGCAATATAAAACTATGCAAAAACAGTAAACTTATTCTACAAGCTTTTGCAGTGCCCTTTTTATGCAAAAATGCTTGAAATTAATACATCAGTATGCTATACTGATATGGGTCATAGCGCATAACTGTAGCATATGTGTATTTTACATTTTTGTAACAAACCCCTGTGCTCAAACTGTGCTAATTGTATTTCATACATTTACAATTGTTCCATTCAGTTTGTTTTATCAGTTTTTGAAATTGAACAAGAAATATCTAACCAATTTTCACATTTCTCATCAAGGAATTTTTTGAATTTTCAAAAAAAAGAACAAAAAAAAAGTTATAATAATTCTGAGATAAGCATAAAACGATGAGATAAAAAACTGTGAAACTTTTTCCATAATCACTAAATCCAATATAATAACTTGTAAAAAACATCATAAGAACTTCTTAAAGATTCATTAGTTTTGAAATAGGTACATGTAGTACCAAAGTTTAACATTATACATGAACAATGTACATGTTAAACGTGTCACAACATTTCAAAACCGACTGATTTCTTTGTCAAGCTACCCTAAGTTGTAAAGGTAAACAGTACAAATAGCTCACTAAATCATAACTTGACAAAGGGATCAGTCCGTCTTTAAACATTGCTAAACATTTAACCCTTTCACCACTGTAGAATAAAATGGACTCATCCATATCAATGCATGGTAGAGTCTGTTAAAGTTACATAGGGATGAAAGGGTTAATACATACATAGTTTGTGTATAAAGTAAAACTTTGATAAATTCTTACACAAAGCTCATCATTTAATGGGTAGCACAGTTAGATTGATATTGAAGACTGTTCAGCGATTCTACAATGTAACACTAAGTAACAATGGTGTTTTGTCTGTACTATAGGGCGGCCGAGGAAGCATTCGTGAAGGACCGTGATGAGACACAGCCGGGAGGAGAGTGGGAAAAAATCTGCAGACTCTGCGAGTTCAACCCCAAAAACTCGAAAAACACAAAAGACGTGTCTAGAATGAGGGGCATTTTGCTTCAACTTAAACAAACACCACTTGTCCGCTAGTTAACTTATAGAGGAAAACAACAAGTAACAAAAGACTTCGATCAATTATCTTGGTAAAATTATGTATCATTTACATTCTGTGTAAGAGATTCGGTGATGTGTACAGAAAGCGGGATCTTGTTGTAAATGTTGTTTTCACTAGTGTACAACTATCCTTAGTCAGTATTGAAAGAGATGGGATCAACACTAAACAGAATTTACCGCAAGATTTCTTTTCATTCCCACAGATTTTGTAGGGAAATGTGAAGAATTTGGAGTTTTGTTTATGAAGATTTTATGTGAGTGAGATTATTGAATGACTAGATCATGATCCGACTTGGGTGTACCTAGTTTTAGGATATACACACTTGGTGTGGTGAGATAGAGTACCAGTAGGTACATGTCGTATACGTTTGTAGTACATAATTCATTCATAAAAAATCCTATGAAAGACTTAGGTGTATTTATTTTGTCAGTAATCTTCAGCTGTTATGTTCATTTAAGAAGGAATTGTTTGACCTGCAGTCAAGACTGGTTGTGTTAAGGAGATATGCTACATTACATATTGCGAATGCTGCATTACATATTGCGATGATTTTTGTAAGAGTTATTTCCCTTATTTTAAAAAAATCCTGCTAAATCCAATTTATTCACAATTACTGGGATTTTACATATGTATATATACGATCTGGAGTATAGAACTCTTTCAAAACAGAGATACATTTGTTGGTCAGGTAGCATATAGCCTTAACATAGTATTTCAGCCTTGTACTGCATGTATCTTGGGTTTACACAAAAAATCATAAAAAAAATAAAAGACATACATTCCACTAGAGTGAAAGTTTTGAAATGATTTCATGTTTAAACATGTTAACTGGTAAAAAGACCCTTTAGGAACTTTCAAGGTCTGTGATCAGAAAGAAACATTTGTGTGTGAAGTTATTGGCTCTTGGGAAGTTTCCTCGATATATAGTCTGTGTTGTCTGATATAGCTGATTGTTTATAACAAGAAATCGTTTGATTTGTAGCAGCTCTTTGTAAGAAATCTGTGAGGAAAATCATCAGTATTTCATTGAATGTTCACAACTATTGGAAAAGAAGTTTGCAAAATATATTTATGTTCATGTACATGATGTGGAAAACTCCATTTGCTGTCATTAAAATGTGAAAACATCTCTCTTGCTTTGTTACTGCTAAGGGCTATTCTAATATTGATGGTATGGAGGGGTAGGAGGCACCTGTAGTACTATATAGGGGTAGTGGGGGTCACTGAAAAAGTGCATCCCACCCCAGACAGCCTCACCTCCAACACGCTGGAACAACCTTAATGGTCTATACAGTAAATCCTTGTCATACTTCCATCATTTGAGAGAGAAATTATGGAATCATTAAATAAATGGGTTAGGAAATAAATTAAGGGAAAGGAATTCCCAAGGCAACAAGAGATCCCAGAAGGAACTCGACGCTCACCATTGACCATCTGCATTAGTTCTACGTCAGTTCGATCTTTTCTCTATTTATTTTTATCTGTTTGATCGAGTCATGTTAACAGTAAATGCACCTTGATGTAACTTAAGAAAGATCCCTCCAGTCGTTTCCGAGAAATGGCGATAACAAACATTCACTGTCAAAACTTAAGATGGTCCCCAGTCAGCTATTGAGTCTATTCGATCAGTCTCATAGGTAAACATGCACAACTAGGGACCAAGAGGAACCTACATTTTGAATTTGAGAAAGATCCATCCAGTCCTTTCTGAGAAATGGCTATAACAATGCTTAACTGTCATAATCAAAGATGGCTGCCAGTTGGCCATTTTTTTTATCTGATCAGTCTCAAAAGCGCACAACTACAGACTAAGGCTTGCTGAGAAATTGCAGTAACAAATTTCACTGTATAAATCAAAGACGGCCCCCAGTCTGCCGTATTATTTATCCGATCAGTCTCTTTATAGAAAAGGTACACAACTGAGGATCAAGGGAAACCTTCATATCAAATTTGAGAAAGATCCCTCTTGTACTTCCTGAACAAGAGATCCCAGAGGGTTCTTGGCGCCTACCATTGTACCATCTTCATCGGTTTATGTCAGTTTGATCTTTTCTTTTATCTGTTTGATCAAGTTGTGTAAACAATAAATGCAGCATTTCATGTATTAACTAATACCGTTCTTTAAATGTAAGAGAAATAGATCCAATCATTACAATATCGGAAAGATCTCATTAGTACCAGGCGCGTAGCTACCATGTAAGCCAATAAGCCCAGGCTTGCGCATGATTTTGACAAGTATAGGTTTTCATGACATTATTTTTTCTTGCTGATACTATAAAGTGGAGTTTAAGTTTTGAATATATAGTATACATATGTAATTCCTCAGATATGATACAGTGTTAATAGTTCGTACAAAAATGTATGAAGTTTAGAAATGTCCATTGCATTAATGGACAGTTCCAGGCGGAACTAAACTGCTCAATTGAGTAAATTGAGAAACTCACGCCTGGCGCAAACGACTCCGAGTATGGCACATTGGACACAGACAATCAATGGTTTTTTTTTATGAAAATATCAATTTGGGGCATGTGCGGCCCCTTTTGGCGGGGCACATTCGGCCACCCTGAATGCAACTGTTATTGTGCCAAGTGACGTCACTATTGATAACGTCACCCAATTGACCACAAAAATAATATTTTTACGTCGCAAAAATTAAGTATGTTTTTCTTCGTATTCATTGATTTGTTCTGGACTTATTTTCCAACAGAATTGAATGAAATTCCATACACTTATTAGTAAATTGTCTTCTCTATCCTTCATGCCATACTTGCCCTGGTAGGGGCCGGATTTACCTCAGGGCGGGGCTCATCCGGCCCCCAACTCTCTCGACCTAAAAAGTCAAATAATTCCCAAAATATGGTCTTGTTTACGATTTGGTTATTAGTTTATGAAAGACAATACATTTCTTTTCTAAATGACATATATAAATATGCATTTCAACAGTATAGTACATGCCTTCCATAACGTCTTGAAAAAAGAAAAGGGGCCGTGTTTGCCCCGGTCCCCCCTACACATGTATTATACATGTGTAGGGGAGACCGGGGCAAGTCCGGCCCCCTTTTCAAAACTATATTATAGTTTCCAACATATCATTATCTCAGACATCAGGACGTGGGAAATGGCTCCTAAGACGTTCTAGAAAACAAAATTTTCATGGGGGAGACCCCCCAGACCCCCCTTACGGGAGGGGGAAGACCCACTCCTGTACCCTCCCCCTGCTCACGCTACGCGCTTCGGGTGGGGGGGGGAGGCTGCCTTCGGCAACCCCATGTCGGGGCTTACACATGGTAAAGGGGCTAGCTACGCGCCAGAGTACTTCCTGTTGGCCATTTTGTTTATCGGATCAGTCTCAAAAGTAAACATGCACAACAACAGACCAAGGGGAAACTACATATCATTTGACAAAGATCCCTTCAAAACTTTCTGAGAAATAGCAAACATTCACTGTCAAAATCCAAGATGGTCACCTGTCGGCCATTTTGGTTATCTGATCAGTCTCAACAGTGAACATGCACAACTACAGACAAAGGGAAAACTACATATCAAATCTTAGAAAGAGAGATCCCTCCAAAATATCCTTGGAAATAGCGATTACAAACATTCACCGTCAAAATCCAAGATGGCTGTGTGTCGGCAATTTTGTTTATCGGATCAATCTCAAAAGTAAACAACTACAGACCATGGGGAACCATCATATCGAATTTGAGAAAGATCCCTCCTGCACTTTCTGAGAAATAGCGTTAACAAGAATTGTGTAAGGACGGTTGAGGGACAATCCATGGACGAAGGGCGATTTGAATAGCCATAACAATCCTTATCTGTAAAAATCCAAGATGGCCGCCTGTCCGCCATATTGTTTATTCGATCAGTCTCAAAAGAACACATGCTCAACAAGGGACCAACGGGAACCTACATATCAAATTTGAACAATATCTCTCCAGTACTTCACTGTCAAAATCCAAGATGTGGTAGCCATATTGTTTATCCATCAGTCTCAAAAGTAAACAAGCACAACTAGGGACCAAGGGAAACTTTCAGATCAAACCTGAGGAAGACCCCTCCAGTCTTTAATGAGAATAAAAATAACAAGAATTGTTTAAGGACGGAAAAAAGAAGGGCGATTTGAACAGATGGTGGGCTAAAAAGGTAAAGGGACATTGAAATATGTTGGCAGAAAACGAGATAGCAAATGAAACAAGCTCGAGTCATGATATATTTGTTAATTGCCAGTTGCTTGCTAGCATGAAGGGCTTACAATATTTGAGAGGACAAAATATCCTTGACCTGGATTAAAGGCCACACAGGTCAAATCTCTCTAAATTCTCGAACGGCTGCTTCTGAGGAACCACTGCAGTTATGCTATAGGACCTTGCTGAAATATGGTGTGCTACAAAGTTTAGCAAATAAGATACATAAACATATATTCAAGGCCACATGGTTTTAAAATCTTTAACACTCAAACTTTCTTCTGAAGAACCAAAGCCCTAGTCCTGATGTATGACCATTAGCTTGCTGGCATGGAGCACTAAACTTTTTACATCTGAAGAACTATAGAGTCATAATCTATAGTGCCATGAAATTTGTGAAAAGACGGGCCGTTGAAAACGGGTGAGCATCTTCAGGCCCCTTGTTTTTTAATTAGATATATAATCAGCCATGAGGAAATATTACCCAGATTGATGTCATTTATGTGGCCTATTGGTGAATGGCAAAAACAACATGGTCAAAGGTCAAGATCAGATGTAAATCCTAACAGTAAACATTGCATAATATTATTAAGTAATATTGTATAGGTAGACCATAGGTGTCAATGGATATACAGGAAGTTGGAAGAGTCATTACATTCCTTTCCAAGAAATCATTTGACGAGTCGAAGAATAACATTAAAATTCATCAAATTCTTCTGTGGTTTCTTCATATGACCTCTGGTATCACGGTTATGGCTGTGCACAAAGTGCCATTTGAGCTTGTGGTATGGTGTGTTATTGTCGTCGACTTTTTCTTTTGAACAACTTCTCAAGAACTGGATGACATAGGGCCATGATATTTGACCAGTAGGTACCTGGGACAGAGTGCTATAAAGTTTCCTCAAATAAATGACCTTGACTTACTTTCAAGGTCACAGGGGTTAAATACCTTTATACAACTTCTTCTGAATTACCCGACGGTCCCAATTCTTGGCTAGTAGCTACCCAACATGAAGTGCTATAAAGTCCCCTCAAATCAATGACATTGACTTACTTTCAAGGTCATAGGAGTTAAATACCGGACGGTCCCGATTCTTGGCTAATAGCTACCTGACATGAAGTGCTATAAAGTCTCCTCAAATCAATGACATTGACCTACTTTAACGATCACACAGGTCAAAGCAGCTGGGACACAGCTGTCAAATATCTTTAAACAACTTCTTCCGCAATACCAGGAGACCCTTGGCGATGATATTCGACCAGTAGCATGCTTAACATTCTTAAGCCAAGGAGACTCAATATATGGAAATATTATACAGTTGACAGACGACAGACAACACACCATAATGATGATGGCAGGAAAATGATGTTACCTTGCAGATGTCCTCATGTGCTGCATAATAAATCAGACCCCAGCACACACACACACTGCATTGGCCAGCAGTAAACAATAACAAACAAGTCGTTACCATAGAATTGAACTTTTTATTTTTTACTTGCAAGAAAAAACACAAGTTTCATCTGATACAATGGACAACTCCACTGTTGTTGGACTTTATACAAACATTTACAGAAGCTCCAATGCACAACTCCAATAATACAATGATTTTTTTACTACATAAATCTACAACTTACTTACAGTGGCACAATGGCAACGAGATATTTTATCTCGTACAAAATTTACGGCAGTTTTTTGAAGAAAAATATGTGAAACAAGAAAAGACAGCTGTCATGGTAACCAAGTGTGAGAATTCAATGAACTGTTCACTACATAAAAACACAACAGTGGCTGTTCCATCAATATGGAAGCTGTTCCACTTAATACTCTGTATTTGCTGAAAGAGGAAGATTTCCTGCAACTGTTCACACTCTGTGCATTGCAATCAGAGAAGACATAAAATAATTGACTTATTCAAACAATTCATTTCTCGTCACAATATTT